AGACTAACTCGGGGCAAAGGCTTACTAAAATAACATAAATGTTTACTTGTTTTTGAAACATTAACAGGGTGGATGTTACATATCTTTGGGGGGAAGGTGTTTCAAAGTGTGGGAGCTACCACAGGGAAGCCTGTCATCTTTTCCATCCTACATACACTGCTTGTGGGGAAGGAATTCTTAACATACCCTCTCTAGATGAGCAGACCAGATGGGCAAAGTCAATTCTGGCAAGGCTTTGCCTGATCTCTGTCTCTCCTGTATCATCAATGGCTTCAAAGATAATGACCAGCACTTTGAATTGGGCCTGGAAGCCTAGTAGCAACTAATGCAGTTGCTTTAACATTGGTGTTATTTTTTATGCCACCATTAATCACTTTATACCAGCTGCAGCTTGTAAGGTTTCCAAAAGCAGCCTCATGTTACTGCAGTTCAGTTGGATGGTGATCAAGGCATGAGTTATTGATATCAGTGTAATATGATCCAGGTAGAGTTGCAATTGGCATGCCAGCCAGAGCTGGGCAAAAGCCTCCCAGCCTGCTTACTGAATAGGAGCCAAAAGTCCATGAGAACCCCCAAGTCATGGACCACCTTCTTTGGGAGGAGTATAAGATACCACCCAGAGTCACTTTTTGTGAGATGGGCGGTATCTAAATTTGAAATATCAATAAAAAAATAATAATAAAATAAATAAATAATCAGTCCTGTTCAGAGTTACTACCTGGGACTATTTTACTGGGTTGTTCAGATGTTCATTGATAACTATTAATGCTATCTTGGTAGGATTTAATCTCAAGCTTCTTTTACCCCATATAGATCCTCACAGTTTCCATACAACAGCACAAGATTTCCATATTATCTGCAGCTCAGGCTTGTGGGGTAGGAATTCTTAAGCACTGGGGTGGGGGTCTCAATGGCAGGGGTGTCAATGTATAATTGAATGTCATTAGCATGTCTCACCCCAAACCAACAGTTGACTACTCCCAGCAGTATCATGTAAATCTTGAACCGCATAGGAGAGAACCCTGTTCCCCAGAGGACTTCACACTGGCATTTCCATGTATTCAAGTGGTTTTACTTTATGATCACTGACTGGGACCACCCACAGATATAGGAGTGTAACATTCACGCAGTTACCGCGGGCCTCTCACAAGTGAGGGGAAAGAAGACACCAAACT